CCTGACAGCTGGCTCACAAGGGGCTAATCTGGCTGGAGGGTGATCTGGATGCTCAGCTTTATTTGGAAGCTAGAAATACCCTGCCTGTGCTAAACAGTCAGTAGCCAAGGATATCTCTTCTCAGTGATAGCTCGATCAGTGCAGATGACTTGATAGAAGATAGAGAAATGACAGAGATGTTCAGATAGATAATGCAGGAGTAGATCGGGAGATAATGGATGAATGGTGTCTTAGGCGGCTTTCCTGTCACTGTTACAAAATATCTAACATTCACCACTTAAAGGAGGAGACGTTTATTTTGGCTCACAGCTTTCAGAAGATTCATTTCATGGTCATTTGGTTCCAAGGCAGAGGCAGCATGACAGAAGGCCCTGGTGGGAAAAAAAATGCTCGCCCCATGACAGCCAAGGACAAGAACATACCCTTTAAGGTTACACCCCTAGAGCCCACCTCTCCCAAACAGGCTCTGCCTCCTAACAGCAAATCATCCACAAACTCATGAGCAGAATAATCCATTGATGAGTATGGCACTCCCATGATCCAGTCACTTTCCACACACGTGAAGCTCTGGAGGAATACTTTGAATCTAAACTATAACAGACGAGAGAGAGAGAGAGAGAGAGAGAGAGAGAGACAGAGACAGAGAGACAGAGACAGAGACAGAGACAGACAGAGACAGAGACAGACAGAGAGAGACAAAGAGAGACAGAGAGAGAGCACTCATAGAAAACTAGAAACTAACTTTTTAAACCCCAGTAGACCTAAAAATCCAGAAGAACTTAATAAATACACAGAATGATGGGTCCCACCTTCAGCAATTCTGGCTCCTTAGGTTGGACTGAGACTTAGGACATTATGTTATAAGCAAATTCTGGGTGACTCTACTTAAGGTGATCCAGGAGAAACACTTTAAAAATGTTGACTAACCCCTAACCCAAGAAAAATGTTGTACAAACTAAGGTCAAGGCCAAAGTCAAAGCTAATATCTCCACTGTGTGTACTCCCCTCTCTTCCCTGAGGAACATCCAGGGTGTTTCAGCAGTGTGACAGCAGAGAGCATGTGGTCAGCTGGTCCTCCAGCCTTGGAGGCAGAACACAGCTCCCTTCCTGCTGTTGTCTGGGATTGCTGAACACCACTGAGGTGGCAGCCTGGTACTAACCTGGAGGGCACTGTGGCCTCCAGCATCCGTGTCTTCCCTGGCAGCCATGCAGCAGGCAGAAACACCAGGAGCAGCAGACTGCCCAGGCCCGTCGTGTCTCCACAACTTTCTGTGACCAACCAGCTGTCCTTGGCTCTATTTTTAGTCTGTCTCCAGTGACTGTGAAGGATTTCTAGAGCTCCTTTCCCAAGAGGGCCAGGGACATGTGCATCCCGTCACTAATGCCCTACTCAGCAGGGAAGAACTGAACTCCTCTGCCAGCCTCAGTGTCCCCACAGGCTTCTGCCCCAGGCCCTTCTCTTGGAAGCCCCCCTTCTTCTTGGCTGCCAGCCCTGCCACTGGCTTGTAGATAGTTCCAAAGACCATGACGTGTCAGCCAACAGTTACTGATTAAAATATGCCTATGAGATGAATGGATTTTAGCAATCCTAGGGAAGCTGCTTTTGCTAGATAGAAAAAAAAAAGGAGAAAAAACACACTTGCTTTCCACAGTGCTGGCAGAGTGCCATGCCCAGACACAAACCCAGTGAATTACTTTCTCATCATTCCCATCACATCCAGTATTATTCTTCCTTTGCCTCAGGGAATATGAAAGCAAACTCAAGAGACTGGCATGCCATAACTCTAACCTCTGTGCCTGTTTATGTCTATATCATGTAGCCTCAGACAGGGCCCACACCCACCAGTCCTCTCTTCTGATCTTCCCCACCCCCCACAAGACCCTGGAGATCTGCCATGATGGTGACCTATGCTGGGTGACAATGAGGCTAACACCAGGCAGGGTAGCACCCTCAGTTGGACCCATGCACTGCTTTCCCTTTCTGGGCACCCAGCCATCCATCCATTTCAACTTCTAAATTATGTGGGAATTCTAGGTCTCTCTTATCTGCAGTGCTACAACTCATCAGCCTTGGGGTGTTCCCTAAAACGGATTCTTCTTTCCAGATATCCAAGACACAGTAGGGGTCACTGGCAGGAAGTAGAATGAAGATGGCTAAAGGTGATCCCAGCCTAAGAAAGAAGATTTGCAGTGATTTCTCCAAGGCCGAAAGCCACAGTCCTGCTCTACACCAGATATGGGGGAGGGACCTGGGTCCCCAGAAGGACTCAGTTCAACTGAAAAGAATACAGGTTGTAAACACTAGAGGCCCAGATGCCACTGGACACTACCAAATGACCGCACTCACTTGGCTGCCAGAGCCACAGAATCTTTCAGGAGCAACTCCTTGGAATCCAAGCCACCTTTGGGCATGACATTCCTGGGACATGGGGGCACAAGGAATCAGATGTGATTTCCTCCATGGATTTGCTGCCCTTGGCTCAATGACACCATGGCTGTGATGGAACTCATCAAGTTCCCCAAGAACAGGTCCCTTAAACCACTCCCTCCAACTCATAACAAGGTCAGCTCCATTTCTGGCTCCCTCTCCACCAGCCAGACCAAAGGCCCACCCATCCTCCATTGTGCTCTCCCACCTGGCTGTCCGCACATCCTGCCTAGTTCAGGCCCTCAGGCCCAGGCTCTTACCCTTGTCCCTTCACTCCACTCCACAACTTTTCCAAGCCACTTCTTGTGGACTGTATTTTCATCACCTTTTAACAGAGTCTTAGTTTAGCCCCTCCCCCTAATGGTACCCAGACAAGAACTCAGATCTGGTACTTCAGCTCAGGTGGCATACGTGAGGAGAAAGAGGCAGATAAGACAGGAGAGCCAGTGGGATGACTAAGGAGGGCTCAACCCTTCCCCTGGTACCATCAGCAACTGCAAGCTCTGTGAGGGCCAGGACAGAGCTCCCTGCTCCAGCCCTGGATCTCAGTGTTAGGAGAGCACAGGCATAGGCTGACAGTCCATTAACCACTGTAGAGTACTATGATTAGGAAGGACTGGATCATGACAAGAATATCGTAAGAGAAGCTGCCAGTGTCACCTCTGGCTGCAAGAATGGCCCAGAGTCCCAACTACAACACAGATTTTTGACATACACTCTCAATTCCTTAACTGGTCCTGGATTTTTGTCCTACACTAGCACAGCATCGACCCACAAGGCATTTGGGACTAGCTGCTTCACATGGCCCTAGTACAATATGGCCCATCCATAGGACAAAACCACTATCACCTTCTTCTCTCCCCCTCCCCTTTCTCCTTTTATAATTTAGTGGTCTGGGATCAATGTAATAGTCACACATGTATATAATACTTAAAATTGAAAAACACTTTCCCATGAATTATTTCATTCAACATCCCTATAATGAGGCGGCAAAATGGGTATTTGTATTTTCTCCATTTGACAAACTAAACGATCAGGTGATCACTGTTAAACAGAAAGTTTAGTAGCAACATCTAACTTTAATATTTGTTTTTCACATCAAACTCTTATTCCTGCATATTTGGATCGCCACCATGGTGGCCACACAGCAGTCAGGGGATCTAGTCACCTGCTCCCTTGGCTCCTACTGTGACAAGGAGGGCTGGCCCCTCAAGTACCCATTAGACGGCTGGACCCCAACTCTAGACCTCCCCTTCTGCATCCTGTGATAGAGGCACCCACTGGGAGGGAATGTCTGAGCAGGAGGACCTTGTGGGAGGAGCTAAAGGACTTCGCTCAGCAAACGGGGAAAATGCCTAGTGCTCTTTGCAGTGGCAAGAGTCACTGGCCACCAACTTGCCAGCTCTGCCTGTGGCTGTCTGTCGGAAAGGATTAGCTTTAACGAGGTACCCAGGCAGCCCTGGAGAACGCGGTGCACATCCCGTTCTGTCCCAGACCAACCAGAGAGGAGGAAGAACACACTTTTCTTCCCTGAGCCTCTAGTCTATGTGCGCGCACAGGGGTGTGTTTGCTCTGTGCACGCGCTTCTGGGGGTGTGCCAGCACGTGTGTGGTGTTCCGACAAGCATTTACTGGGTTGGTCTTGGCGAAGGGTGTGACCCAGCGTGTGTGAGGGGGGCTCCCTTGGAGTCCAGATAAGCTCTGCTTCGCACCTCCCACCACCCTACCCTGCTGAGCAGTGGAGAGGGCAAGGGGCGTCGGGCTTCTGGGAAGGATGGGTGCACGACCTACCAGCTGCTCCCTCTGGTTGGTCAAGGTCGATCTGTAGATCGATTAATATCGCTAAAGTCCAGCCCAAACTGCTGGCGTGGCCGGGGCTGAAGTTCATGGCAGCCCTGCATAGATTAGGGAGCCCTGAACTCCCAAATACCACTGAGGCCCAAAGCATGCTCCAGGAGGTGGACGAAGGTAATGGCAGCTGAGGAGCCCCCTCCCAGGACCTAGAAACACCTAGAGGAAAATTAACGGGGAGAAAGATCCACCTGGGGACGCATCTCAGCCCTCGCCCCGTCCCCGTCCCCACCCATCCACAGCCTCTCCCATTCCATACCCTCCCCTCCGTCCTCGCAGCCGCGCGCAGCTCCACCCCGCCTTCCCCAGAGTCGCCCCCCGTACAGTCTCTAACCCTGCCGCTGAGGGTGGGGAGCCAGATCAAGCCTCAGATCTGCCGCCCAGCTCCCGCCCTGTGTTATCCCCCTCCCCCAGCCTCCGTAGCCAGAGGGAAGGGCTGGGGGCGCGCACGGCGCGCGCGGGACGTTCCTCTTTAACCGCCTCGGCGCCGCGGCCGTCTGTCCCCTCAGAGCCCGGACTCACCGGGTCTCTAACCCTGCCGCTGAGGGTGGGGAGCCAGATCAAGCCTCAGATCTGCCGCCCAGCTCCCGCCCTGTGTTATCCCCCTCCCCCAGCCTCCGTAGCCAGAGGGAAGGGCTGGGGGCGCGCACGGCGCGCGCGGGACGTTCCTCTTTAACCGCCTCGGCGCCGCGGCCGTCTGTCCCCTCAGAGCCCGGACTCACCGGAATGTGCACTCGCAGCGATCGCCTCTTCTGGCTGGGATTCTTCTTGCCGCCGCTCCCGCCGGAGCTGGAAACCTCTTTCTTCTTCTTGGTGTCCATGGCCGCGCTTCCCATAACTTTAACCAGAAGTTAAGCCGGGGACTCTTTCCTGGGGTTCAGTCCCCCTCTGCCTTGTCCAGCCTCTGGGGTTGGTCCCAAACCACGCGCTCTTTATGACTGTCTTTCCCCCGTGAAGACACGGCGTGGGGACTTCCGCGGGGAAGGGGTGGAGCGGGGAACTCGCGCCACGACACCCGAGGACTGGCGGTCCAGGGAGCGCAGAGTTCGGCGCCCTCTTTCTCCTACAGAACCATCGGGTGCAAAGTCGGAGTCGAAGCCCGCGCTTGTGCTGGTTACGCGTGGCAGCGGTCTTCTGCTGTGTGACAAAGTTTTCTTCCTTTTACAAAGCGAGGCAGCATTTTCCACCCTCTAGGCTCCTCCCACAACCTCCCAGAGGTAATCTCCGAGGCAGGTGCAATTAAAAACAATTTGGAAAACGGCGCTCCGGTGCCTGAGTCTGGGTGGAGAAAATGAGACAGTCCGTATTTCAGTTTATGACCCTCGGCCAAAGAATAAAGCAGCCCAGAGTCTGGAACCGGGGCGGTCCTCTCCGCGCAAGAGGGAGGGCAAGAGGGGAAGAGGAGGTGCAAAGGCGAAAGCTCTTCGCAATTGGGCTACTGCGTGGCTGCGGGTACAAGTTTGGGCCGCCGATGGCGCGGCCCTGCCCGCCCCAGGACTAGCCAGGAGCCCGG